GAACTGGCCAGTCAGCCTTTGGAGGGCATGTCCTCTATCTTTTCAACACCTAGCTCTAAGGGATTTGACACCCTTACCTAGCTTATAAGAGCAGCAGCTGGAAACACATGGCATTCTCTCACATAAACAACACACGAATGGCTCCTTCTCCCTTCCCAACTCTCTCTCAATTCTGTTTAATGACAGAATTCTTAACCTAATGGTAAGAATTCAAACTTTCTGCTACTACCACCACAATAAAGCCAGGAAGCTACTAACTACCAGGATTTGAAAATTCAACAAATGGGAAAACCATCAAACTTTGGAAATAAACATTCTGCCCCATAACGGAGCCCAGAAACCTGGTTAAATCATAGCCAATGAATGTCAAATTGTGCAATGATTGTCACAGGAATTCCAGATACGGTAAGTATTGGAGATGGTGAAAGACTTGATAGGAGTCTGAGGTACATACGTCTTTCATCAAGGTATGTATGCTGACCCAAAGATTAATGAAGTCATGGGTGCCACTACTGCTGTACTTTTCCACAAATAAAATAACTTTTCTTTTCGAGCTATTATGCCTGCCACCAAACAAAATTTATCGACGGCAGAGAAGAAAACAGTAAAAGACTACCCCTGCAGAAGTGGAGGACGTGAAACACAAAGGCAGAAAGACTCTACAGCTATACTCAGAGAACTTTGTATCGTGGAGAAAAGAAGACCTGACAATGCCAAATGGACTTATATTTAAAAAGTGACGGTGTAATCACATAGTCCAAGCTCGTACCACTGGGACATGAGAGGCCTGCTTGTTTGCAGTGTGACAGTCACCGAATTTTGCAGATCTACTTTTATGGTGAATCAGGATGTTTTCGAACCCGTGTTTGTCCAGCTGGACATCCTAGGCCCACAATTCGCAGAAGGCTCTCTTGATGGCAAAAGAGAAAATTAGCTCTTGTAGGGGGACAACAGCACTTACAGAGACTGACAGGTTTCACGCTGATCATTCTTTCTTCTCAACTCACTTGACCTTGGCACCCAGTTTCTTACAGTGTTTTCCAGAGACGACTTTCTGCGGAAATTTTCCTTTATAAAATAAGATCTGGCCACAAGAAAGAATGGGTTTTGAAATGGGCTTTGTATGCTGAAATTTCGCCCCATTTCTGCTGCCATGAAAGGACCTGTTTTCTTCAAGCCATCTTCCTAATGCAAAACTTTGTAATGAAATATACTCAAAAGTAAATTTGGCTTTCATATTTTTATCTAATTAAAATATATATAAACCAACCAAACACGCACCTATGAACTTCCACGGCTCAGGTAATGTATATAGCCCTCTCAGTTCCTTATTATGTATACACTTTAGTGCATAAAATTGAGTAAATCATCTGCTTGAATGAATTATCTGCTTGGGAGTTTTTCACACTGACCTCTGTGGTCTCTTGGGGTCTTTGAGTGTGTGCAACCACACTACAAAGCTACACTTGAATTTTTTAAAATGTAATTCATTCTCTTTTTTTCCTTTCCATCCAGCATGAACAATCAAGAATTCATGGTATTATGGATTTTTAAATGTCAGGGATTGTAAAGCTGTCTTGCCTATTACAGTAAAACTTCATTAGAGGCTATCATGTATTCAAAGTGGTGTGTAATTCAAAGCAGCTGCACATCCCAGCGCCTCTCCTCCAGATGCACTGTTGTTCTTTAAAGAAAAAAAAAAAAAAAAAAGACGTGACATAACCCAAGGGCTCTATAGCTTCAAGCCTTGTTTCTAGGTGCCCAGAATCTTGATAACTATATCTTAATGAAGTTATTATAGTCCATTGTCACGGAACACAGCAAAAATGGTGCCTTCCCACTGATCCATGTATTCTTCAGGGCACTGGCTTCTAGTCAAGTAATGATTTTTCAGGCCTGGATCATATATCAACTTCCCTACAGCCTTGTAGGTAATCGTTGCACTTTAGGAATATGTCAAAATCACATCCTCTATATTGAAAGATTTTGATTCATATTAGTTAAGACTCCTCTGTCCTTTTGCACTGAGGCAAAACATTCACTTGTGAGTCTGTGTTACTTCAGTCTTTCCTTCTCTTATTCGTGATGGCAAATATAATTTTCTTAAAGGCAATACATTGGGATGTGATGTTTTAAAATGTCATAAATAGAGATAGTTTTTACACAAGAAAACTAAACTTCCTTTGCTTTTCCTAGAGATGTTACGACTGAGATAAGTAAGATCAAAGGACCATGGGAAAAAAAAGAGCTTAAATTATGTACTGTAAAGGATCAGGACAGGAGAAAACCTCATGAAAAATATTCTGTTAGCCCATAGTAGCCAAGGACAAACTTAAATCAAGACTGAAACAAAAGCTACTTTCATACTCTCTGTCTTCCTGCTGGATGGTGTATCTCTACTAGCCTGGAAGTTTTTGTCATCCATAGTTCTGTGAATCACTTTTTTTTTTTTTTACAAAGGAAAAGATAAAACTCGTCTTTACATAAACTCTCACATATGAAAAGAAAAGTCTGTAAGACTCCAAGCCTATGGTTTTGGCACACCGACTGCCTGGAGCTGAGAAAGGAGAAAAGAGGTTTGCAGAAAGTATGTTTAGGATCTCTGCCACCCACCATCAAGTAATGGTTTAAGTAGGAAGTAATCAGAGGGAGACCACAGCAGCTAAATTTCAGATATCCTAGGTTTAGAACAATAAATAATTTTAATCAGATATGTTCCAAGGAGCAAATGGCTCTCTGAGGCTATAGGTCAGTCCGAACAAGCACTCGGAGGGAGAGCCTGGCAGATCAGTGGGCACTCCATTTACAGGGCACAGACACCTGACCTTCCATAAAATCTGTAACATCTTTGCTAGAGAGAAGCACGTGTGTTGTGTGGAACTTAAGCATGCTGGGCTGGACAAAAAAAAATAAATCTGATTTTTTTAACACAGGGTCTTTTTCACAGGTCACCAAGTAAGGGGCGTTTGGGGACACTCATACTATGAAGGGAGGGCAGCACACACAACTTTAGCACCTTCCTGGAGTCCTGCCTCTTACAGCTAGAGAGGTCTTAGAACAAAATCCTTTCAGCGTGTGAGGAACTAAACACTCTTGGAAGGAGTCCAACATGAACCAGCTCTCCAGGAGTCTCTAACGAGGTAACACGACTCTTTAAAGCTTCCACACACACACACACAAAAAGTGTCTACTTTTGATGAATAAGTCATTAAGGAGGTTTGTAGGATGCTAAAGGGATTACTTTCCTTATCAGGGCACACAGCCTTGTATATATGTTCCAAGCTGCAATCCATCATTTCTAGGGAGTGTCTGGCCTCTGCAACAGTTTATCATTTGATGGTCTACGACACAGTGAGGCTGATAATGGACACTGGAATTATAATGGGTAGAGTGAGTGAAAGCCCGGATGTTATTAAGTTCTTACCCCCGGTTTACTCAGTCTAAAACCAGTAGCTAAACAGTGTGGGAATGAGACAGAATCCAAGTTTACCTTCAAACACTGTGACACACACCAAAAAAACAAAACCTGTTGATACAAAAATGGTTTGTCACTTGTATAGCTCAACTTATTCTCTGGGAACATAACCAAATGAGAACTATCAAAGCCAGAGTGATCTGAGTATCCTCCTATTGCCACCTGCTTTGCCCACCCACCAGCTTCCTTCCAAGACCTTGTTAAACCCCACAGCGCGCTCTTTCGCTGAGCTCTGACCTCAGCGCGAAGCATTACTGTAAACAGACAGGTCACTGGTGTCAGCGCTATCAGGGCGGTCTCTTCAAGGGGGCTAAGAAGCTCTGCACCAGGCCAATAGGTTTCTGGGTCCTCAATAGAGGACGCCTCTTTAGAGGTCCTGCCCACAGGTCTACGAAGAAAGTGAAATCTGGCTTAGCTCAGCTTCTACCTAAAGACTTCTCTGCATTAAAAGCATAACTCACATTTATTGTAAATGTCATCGCGCCTGTGAGCTCCGAGCGAAGCACAATCCATGAGCCCCCCCCCCCCCCCCAGCCCCCGCGCAGCTCCCAGGAGTCCTAACTAGTCAAGTTGAGGGAAAATTCATCTACTGGTTTTGGACAGAATTGAGAGAGCACCCAAGACACAGCCTTGACCCTTGAGCCTTCCTGACCAAGTCCTAAAGGCAGACTTAGCAAACACCCCTCCCTTGATCCTGAAGGTCGTGTTCCCAAACTCTAGTACGTCCTCAAAGCAGTGAGCGTCCAGGAAATGTGCCCCCAGGAGCTGGGGGTGGGGGTGGGGGGGTGGCCTTAAGCCACGAATTTCAGCCGCTATGAACTGTGTTGAAAAAACCGGGAAGATCTTCATCGCACAAGCTAAGAGTGGTGAGTTCACTCTCCACCCGCGGCCTCTCCCCACGCTAACTCTTCCCAGTTTGGACCCCGCAAGACTTCATTTGCCCGGATGGGCTAGAAATAACCCGAACACTCACGCACCTGGCTTTGTTTACGAGTTTGCCACTAGGGGACTGTCAAGAAGAAAGTGTCAGATACAGCAACACAAAGGTCGCCGAGTTAAGAGTGAGTGCTGCCTCCGGGGAAGTGCCAGGCGGGTGCGCTTTCCTCTGCCGGCCCCAGGCTTGGCATAAAATGGCATCCGCGTCGGTATAAAAGCAGCCAAAGCCCGTCGGAGGGAATTTCCGCTGAGCGGTTTAATCATCACCATAAGATCTTCCGTAGGGGTGCCCCGGGAGAGGGGTTCTGGGCGCTGAGTGCTCTCCCTTGACCTCTCCCCTTGCTGCTCGGCTAACTAAGACCCTGCCACACTGCACTAGCTCTTCTCCGACTTTCTGGTCCCAGCGGGGCTCAAACTGGGCTCCGCCGGAACGCAGCAGGAGGAATTTGGAGAGGGCGGAGGGGACTGGAAGGCGGTAACCCGGAAAGGTCCCCGGACAGCACTACCTGGGGCCCGGAGACCGCGGGGTGGCACGCCGGGAGGGGCTGCTCCGGAGCTGAAAGGGTTCCCTCCCCCCCCCCCCCCCCACCTGCGGCTGCGGCTCTGAAGCTGCGTACGGTGTTGCCACCACGCAGGGCCTGGGGACCCGGAGGCAGCGAGCCGGGTGTCCGGGTGGCCTGGACTCTGCCGCCGCCGCTGTACCTGTCGTAGAGCCACAGCATATGCTCTGACACCTTATCCTGCGGCGGCCAGTCCGGGCTCGGGCCACCACCTGTCGTGCGGTCGCCGGGTGCAGCCCCGCGGAGCTCCGGGAGATGCAGGCTCGGTCTCTGACCGCGCGCCAGGTTCAGACCGAAGCAGCCTAGCCACAGACACAGCAGCCCGCGCGCCCAGGCCATTGCGAGGTCCCGCTGTCGCGCCGCGCGCTTCTTCGGGTGGCCCGGGACACTCCGGAGGTGAAGGGGACGGCGGCGGAGCCGGGGTGGCGCTCCAGCTGCGGAGCGGACGCCGGGAGCCGGGCACAGCTGGAGGAACCAACCGCGAGGGCCGGCAGGTGGGCTCTGGGTGCCAGCCGCGCCTGCTCAGCTCCCCTATCCGGACGGAGGGCTGAGGGTCTCGGCAAGGGCAGCTAGGGCTGCCACGCGCGGGCTCTCCCTTCCGCGCCACCTGAGGCTCGGGATCCGGGGATCTGGATCTGCGCTCCACCGGCCTGGGACGCGCGCCGGGGCGGGGTGTGCGCCGTCGCAGCCAGCTGAGTTCTCAGAGGACGTGGTGTGTGTGTGTGTGTGTGTGTGTGTGTGTGTGTGTGTGAGAGAGAGAGAGAGAGAGAGAGAGAGAGAGAGAGAGAGAGAGAGAGAGAGA